GGCCAACTCAGGAGCCAGCCGGAACTCCGTTCCTGTGCGTTCCTGCCCAAAAATAGCCCTGGAATACTGTACAGCCGGCCTGAATTCCCCCCTGCCAATAAACCAGCTTACTGGGCTTACAGGAGAACAGAACCATCAGACCAAGAATAGGAAACGCTGCCCCATTCTTCTCCTCTGGCGGGAAGCTCCTCCCCGAACATCACTTTCCCACCCCTCTCCTCACCTGAAGGGCCGACACAAACTGAACTGTGCTGACCAGCACCAGTTTGGACCTTGGGGAGAAGTTGAACCGCAGCGTCTCAACGAAATGGGCCGTGTCAATCTTGATGTCGACAAACACGTACAACATTTTCACGCCCGACGTGGGATCGATGGGAACTGTCGGAGAAGAGGAGGACAAAGGCTGTTGCTGCTACTGGGGGGCCCCGTTGGGGAAGAAGAAAGCCCCCCCCCCGCTGGCCGAGGAGAGAAACAGAACTGCCCCTGCTCTTCCACCAGCGTGCCTCCCTCCCTCCCTCCCTGCCCGACCCACCAGGACACAATGCAGGGTACAGCATTCGGAATCCTGACACGCTTGCCTTGCCTTACATCCCTCCCCACCCCACTGCCCCATACAAAGGCCAGGCCCATGTCGGTGATCAACAAAGCCTCTCCGGAGTGGGCAGATGGGAAAGTCAAAACTGGCAGAAAGCGCCCTGGCGTGGATAGCCCAGGCAAGTTCGATCTCGTCAGATCTCGGAAGCTCAGCAGGGCCGACCCCGGCAAGTGACTGGAAGGGGGACCCCCAAGGAATACCATGGCCGGGACGTAGGGGCAGGCAATAGCAAACCACCTCTCTGAAAATTCCAAGCCCCACTAGGGATCGCCAGGAGTCAATCGTGACTTCCAGGCGCACACACGCGCACACACAAATACTCACCCCCCAAAAAAAAAAATCAGCAGAAAGTGGTTCCATCCTGCTAATCACATGAATCATTTCTGTTTATGGAATGGACAGAGTAACTGGGTTGGAACACTTTCCCTATGAGCCTTAGGGCTCTTTAGCTTGGAGAAACGAAGACTGAGGGGTGACATGATCGAGGTTTATAAGATTATGCAGGGGAGAGAGCAGGTAGAGAAAGAGGTACTTTTCTCCCTTTCTCACAATACAGGAACTCGTGGGCACTCCATGAAACTGCTGAGCGGTCGGGTTAGAACGGATAAAAGGAAGTACTTCTTCACCCAAAGAGTGATTAACACATGGAATTCACTGCCACAGGTGGTGGTGGTGGCTACAGGCATGGACGGCTTCAAGAGGGAACTGGATAAGCATATGGAGCAGAGGTCCATCAGTGGCTATTAGCCACAAGGTATAGCTAGGGGCTCTGGGGCAAGTGATGCTCTGTCTTCTTGGTGCTTGGGGGGGGGTCAACAGTGGGAGGGCTTCTAATGTCCTGGCCCCACTGGTGGACCTCCTGATGGCACCTGGTATTTCTGGCCACTGTGTGACACAGAGTGTTGGACTGGATGGGCCTTTGGCCTGATCCAACATTGGCGTCTCTTATGTTCTTATGTTCTAACTATTCATTTGAGCAGGATGGGACCAGAGCTGTCAAGGTGGACAGCGGAAAAAAGAAACACGCTAAATGTTAGGGTTGCCAATTCCTGGTGGGGAAATTCCTGGAGACCTGGGGGCTGGAGCCGGGAGAGGGGAGGGTTTGGGGAGGGGAGGGGAGGGGAGGGGAGGGGCCTCAGCAGAGTATAACGCCATAAGGTCCACCTTCCGAAGCAGCCATTTCCCCCAGGGGGACTGATCTCTATAGTCTGGAGAGAAGTTGTAATTCTGGGCGATCTCCAGGCCCTGCTTGGAAGTTGGCAGCCTCACTGAACCTTTATGTCCTCTTCTGGGGGGCGACATCGAAATCGCCACACCGTGAGCCACGAGAACAGGAGGCATAAAAGGAAGGACCCATCAAGTCCAGAGCACCCCCTCCCAATGAGGCCTTGCCTTGCACCGTCTCCTGTCAATCAGCCTTGCCGGGAGAAAAACCCGGTCTCCTTAATTGGAGCATCTGGAGGAGGCTGCCTGCTGAGTCTCTGCACGAGATATTGCTCCAGCCCCACCTTCTGCCAATCAGGAGGAATCATCCTCAGCCCCCTTACTCTTACGGCATATCAACAGGACATTTTCCATTGCAGTCCAACAACCGTCGCGCCTGAGCTACAGAAGCACAGACTCCTGCAGTACCTCGGTATGCCTTCGCACTAGCTGGGGGATACGTGCTCCAGTTTGTCGGGATGGAGGCAAGACAAACCTTTTAGCTGCGCCCCGGGGGGGGGGGATGGACACTGGGTGTCATCAAACTGCTCCTGAAATGTCTGCACAGCAGAAGGACAGCCGCCACGCAGGAAGGTGCGAGTGCCTCCGCTCCAATCCCCCGCCCTTTGGTCACCCACAGCTCGGGCATCTTCGCCCTGGTCTAACCACTGGAATCCTCTGGAAATATTGTTTTTTTCTCTTTTAAAGCCATCCTGAAATTATAACTCACGCGGGTCAAACGGCGCACCGTTTGCAGACTCTGACTCTGAGCGGGGAAAAAATAAATAATGAAGTCACTCTGGCGTGTTGAATTGGGATGACCCTGATCCGCAGCCGGGGAGCTTGCATTTTGCATCAGTAAAACGGCCCTGCGCTGTACTTGGTGTTGACCTGAGCGCAGCACCCCTGCAGTGCGGGCACTTCGGGGCTGCTACCTCAGGGGAAGGAAGGTCACCTCGCTGGCCTCCTCCCCCCACCCCACCCTGCCCCTTTCTAAGAAAGCAGCAGGTTGCTGGCGGGCACTTTGCGCTGCAGCCACAAGAGGAGGCTGTGCCTCAGCCGGATCGTTGCGCCAGGGGCTCCGCAAACCATGCCAGGACACACTGGAAGTGGGGGGGGGGGGAGAATAACACAGACTGCCCTCTCTCCCCTGCCAGCCCCAACCAAGGACTGCACTGCCAGCTCATTCCTTGGGGAAAAACCAAGCAAGAACGTTCCCCTCTCGCATCCTTGCTCTGAGACCCCAGTGGCATCCTGCAGCTTCCCTCCCCTCTCCAAGCCTCGCCCCTCCTTCCCCCATCCTCACTCACTCTCCCCTGCAGTCGTCTTTTTTCCAAGGCTCCAAGAAGCCAGGCTGGCAGAAGACACCGGCACTCCCCCCTCCCCCCACAGATCCACCTTAAAAGCCGAAACACGGCCTTTTCTTCCTCCTCTCCCCACCCCTTCCTTGTTATTTTGAGCCCATTCCATCCTGGGTGGACTTCAAAGTTAGCAGCATCTGGGACAGCAGTGCAGTTTCCATGGCAACAGAATCCAGAGTACCCGTTCCGCCTAGGGAGCCGGCAACCGTTGCCTGCCTCCCCTCCATCCCTCCCTCCCTGCTCTACGAGGCCTCCTCCTCGTGCTCAGCAACCGTACCAGCCGCACCACTGACTGCGCAAGCCTCTGCCCCACCCCTCCGAGCCCTTCATGGGGGGGGGAGGGGGCTCTGTAAGCCTCTCCACCCTGGGGATGGGGGGGGGCAGAGGTAGACAGTGCAGGTGAAGCAGCAAGGAGAACCCGGCTCCACAGCCGCCCCGTAAAAGCCAACTGTGAAGCAAGTGCCAATGGGATTCAAACACGGAAGCACACGCAGGTTGCGTTCCCATTTATATCGCCAAGGTACTCTACCTGCTGTCTCCCACCTGAGACTCACGTAGGCCTCGGCCCGAGAACCTCCGATCCTTACCAGGTCGGGGCCTTTGGGGTTGAACCTGAGTGTCTTACTTATTAAAACATTTATTCTCCCACCCAATGCTCCCTCTAAGCTGTGGGGTCCTGTGAGCAAAAATTCTACATTGTGAGCAGTGTTCCCTCTAAGCTGAGTGAGTGTGAGCTAGCTCATCGTTTTTTAGCCTCCGGCTCACACATTTTTGTTTCCGCTCAGGAAGGAGGGCTCCAGAGCAAACTAATTTATGCAGTAGCCAAATTACTCGCTCATAACTTTAATGCTGGTAGCTCACAAAGGAGGATTTTTGCTCACAGGACTTCACAGCTTAGAGGGAGCGTTGATTCTGAGCTACTGGCACCGAAGTTATGAGTGAGCGATTTGGCGACTGCATAAATTAGTTTGATCTGGAGCCGTCCTTCCTGAGCTAAGACAAAAATGTGTGAGCCGGAGGCTAAAAGACTGTGAGCTAGCTCACACTCACTCAGCTGAGGGTGAACACTGATCCCCACCTTTCCTTCTGGTTCAAGGCCGCTTACAATCTTACCCCGATCTTGCAAATCATGCCGTGTTGGTGAGCCAGGCAGGCAAAAGATGCCTCCCTTGGCTTCCCTTTGCATAAAGCTGCCGTGAAAAATGTACACACATGGCTGGGGGGGGGGGGGACACCTGGTTTGGATGCAGCCCAAGCAAAGAGCCGTGAACGAAACAATGATTTGGATTGGTTAGCAAAGAGCTGATAGCTGAGTGTGTGTGGGGGGAGATAGAAGACAACTGATGCTAGAATCCAAGGATGAGTGAGGAAGAAGTGATGGACGCCGCTCAAAATCCCGAGCTTCATGCCAGATTCTCATGGGACAGTTTTGTGGGTACACAAAAGTACACCCTGGTGCTGCCAAAAACCATTTGCAAAACCCCCGGTGCTTTTAAAGTGCCTTCGAGCAGGATTCCTGGCCCCCGACTGCTTGCTCCTATGTAAGCAGATACAGGACTGCAGTTTTATACAGACATTAAAGACAAAAATAAAATCAAGATCCATCGGTTTCAGCGTTAACATGTGTTAAGGTTTGCGAGGCAGCCTCCCCGCCACGTTTCCATCCCTCGATCACTTTGAGCTGTCACTTTACACTCCCCATAGATTTGGATGTGGGGCGGGGGCGTAATTCACGTATTGATTTTTCTGAGCAGAGCATCCGAATTTGTTTGCAGAAGCTCTGGGTGACAAGGGTCCCTTGTGGAGAACTTAAAAGATAACTTCTGCTCCAGCCTGCCAACATTTCAGTTTTTTTTCAAGTTTCGCAGACAGAGAACTACACAGGGATTGTTCCAGCTCAGACCTACAAATCAAGCCATCATTAACTCGGCTCTGTTACACACACACACACACACACACACACACACACACACACCTCCCTAGAATTACCACCCTGACCTGGATAGCTCAGGCAAGCCCAATCTTGTCAAATCTCAGAAGCTAAGCAGGGCCAACCCTGGCAAGTACTTGGATGGGGGACCTCCAAGGAATACCAGGGCTGGAATGCAGAGGCAGGCAATAGCAACCCACTTCTCTGAGATGTCCGAGCCATACTAGGGGTCACCAGAGGTCAACCATGACTTCCAGGCATACACAAATACACACACACAAATTCTCTCTCTCTCTCTCTCACACACAAACACTAAACATGAATTACCAAGCTGCACCACATGGGCATCCCTAGTGGCTCCAGCATCTAGGGTCCGTCGCCCACTAGCAGCCAGGTCAAGCAGCCTGGCTATGGGAGTGCATTGGGCTGCCTCCAGATTCGGAGGCACCTTCACTGGGGGCCTTGCTAACACAGAAGGGGAGCAACCCCCCCCCTACCGAGAAATTAATTCAGGCTGCCTGTAACCCAACAGAGTGCTCTACCAGAACAGTGGCATTGCTGGGGTCGCGTGACTCGGTGGCAGACCATCTGCCTGGCATGCAGAAGGCCCCAGGTTCACAGGGAACTGCCTTACAGTGAATCAGACCCTTCATCCTTCAGAGTATTGCCTACTCAAACTGGCAGTGGGTCTCCAAGGTCTCAGGTACAGCTCTTTCACATCAACCCCTACCTGATCCTTTTAACTGGAGATGTGGGGATTGAACCTAGGACCTTCTGCGTGCCAAGCAGATGCTCTGCCACTGAGCCACGTCCCGTCCCCCCGCCGGAGCTCCAGGTAAAAAGATCAGGTGGCGCAGACAATACAACGCCTGCTGTTAACATCTGTAGCGAACAGCCATAATGGCTGTTCGAATCCCCACCACAGCCGGGTTGAGCCCCCGGCCCTCATCCCAGCTCCCGCCAACCCAGCGGCTCTAATAACAACAAAGGAATGGGTACCTGCCCTGGGTGGCAGGGGGCACCCTCCTCCTGGCTTACGCTGGGCGGGCGATCGGCAGCGGCGAGGAGAGGGGAGGGTCAGCGGCGGGGACGGCGGTGGCGGCAGTGGAGAGCGACCCGGGAAAGGCATCGGCTGGATCGTGCGGAGCCGTAGCCGGAGCTGCACGCTGACGTGGGATGCAGCGCGGCAGGAGCCGACAGGACATTGGCCGAAGCGGCACCCAAGACGCGCCGCTCCGAAGGGGAGAGAAACTGAGGCAGCCCGCTTGAGTCCGGCCGACAACCATCTGGATCCCCGGAGCAACGGGGGAAGCTGCCAGAGAAGAAAGGACGATGCCGAATAAAGGGTGCTGGTAGGCTACCCCCTCCCCTCACTGCATTGTGGCCCTAGGTAGGATTAATTACTACGTTGTAGTACTCTGTGAAGCGCTCTGAGACCCTCTGAGACTCATTAGGGGTCATGGGCAGTATACAAATCACATGTAAATAAAAAAAGGTAGTAGGGGATGTGAAAGACCTCTGCCTGGGACCTTGGGGAGCCACAGACAGTTTGAGTAGACAGTACTGACCTTGATGGACCAAGGGTCTGATTGAGTATACGGCAGCCTCATGCATGTTCCTCTGGGGTCTCAGAGCCAGCACTGTGTTGCTGCACCGCCACCCCAACTCACCCGCTCCGTATTGTCACTAGTGGCCAAACTAAACTGAGCCACAGCATGGGGCTACCCATGTACCACAACAGGCAGACGGAGCAGGACTCCCATACTCTGCCAAGGACAAAGCTATGAGGGAGGGGGTGGGGAAAGAGGCAGAGCCCAGGCTGGGCTACATACCCAGACAGCTGTGACCGTAGTGCACCAGGAAGTCAGCTCCCAGTGCCCGGGCTGTAAAGTCATCCACACAACAGGCGCCATAGGTCACATCGCCCATCACGACAGCTTCTGCTCCGGTGAACCTGCAAGGGAAGAGGAGGGGTGGTCAACAGGACTCTAATCTGGGAGAACCGGGTTTGATTCCCCACTCCTCCACTCGCGCCTGCTGGATGAACTGGGGCAAGCCACAGTTCTGTCAGAGCTGTTCTTGGAAAAGAGCAGTTTCTGTCAGAGCTCTCTCAGCCCCGCCTACCACACTGAGTGTCTGTTGTGGGGAGGGGAAGGGACAGGTGTTTGTAAGCCGCTCTGAGACTCCTTTGGGTAGTGAAGGGTGGGGTATAAATCCAATCTCCTCTTCTTCTTGAGAGCCAGCTTGGTGTAGTGGTTAAGTGTGCGGACTCTAATCAGGGAGAACCGGGTTTGATTCCCCCACTCCTCCACTTGCACCTGCTGATGTGACCTTGGGTCAATCACAAGCTCTGGCACAGCTGTCCTTGAAAAAGGGCAGTTTGTGTCAGAGTTCTCTCAGCCCCACCCACCTCACAGGGTGTCTGTTGTGGGGAGGGGAAGGGAAAGGAGTTTGTAAGCCGCCCTGAGACACCTTTGGGTAGTGAAGGGCGGGGTATAAATCCAATCTCTTCTCTTCTTCTTCTTCTTCTTTTACCTCACAGGGTGTCTGTTGTGGGGAGGGGGAGGGAAAGGAGTTTGTAAGCCGCTCTGAGACTCCTGTGGGTAGTGAAGAGTGCGGTATATATCCAGTCTCTTCTCCTCCTTCTCCATTAGGCCAGCAAGGACAGGGCTGAGGCTAAGTGGACAGACACATAGCTGCATCCGAGAAGCCTGCTGCCAGCCCTTTCCCTGCCGCAAGCCCCCACAAAGCCTGGAGCACCAGCCTTATTTCTCTAGCTGAAAAAAGGAAACAAGCAAGAGTGCCTGCCTCCCAGGGCGTTTGCCACTAAAGACCCCAGAACTCTTTGGCAGAGGAAAATGGAAAGAGGCCCCTCTCCGCAGCCAGTGGGTAAACGTTCCTCCCAGGGAAGAGGCAAAGCAGCTCAAGGCCTGGCCGGATCATTAAACTAGGTGCTAATCCACCTCTTCAGATGGGGAAAAGCCGTTTGCCATTCAGGGGATTAGGCACTCCTGAGAATACATATGGCCATCTGACAGCAATTCTGATTCTGCGAATTTAGGCAGATCACGAGAGGGAGGGCAGGGAGCGTTGCATCAGTGCTTCGTTCTTGTGGCCCTTTCTTACGCAACTAGGGAAATGCTGATCGCCACTTTGGGGTCAGGAAGCAGTTTTTCTCCAGGCCAGTTCGGCCGGGGATCCTGGAGGTTTTTTTGTCATCTTCTGGGCATGGAACAAAGGTCATTGGGGGTGGGGAGAGGAGGTGGTTGTGAATCCCCTGCATTGTGCAGGGGGTTGGACTAGATGACCCTGGAGGTCCCTTCCAACTCTATGACTCTATTATTCTACACTGCCAGCATCCCTGCTCACAGCGTGGAGAGCACCTTGCTTCTTCTGGATCAAGGTGGGCACAAGCTCCCAGCACTGTCAAAAAGCCCCACTGAAAACCCTCTCCCTTTTCTTCCAATATGGCAAAGAGAGAAAGGCAACCCGAGGATATGTCCGTTGAAGACCCATCTCTCCCTGGACCTGTGGATACCTTCTAAAGTTCGGGGCTCTTGCCGGCAGCGGATGGAGCCGGGGGAAGAGTGGGGTAAGATCCAGGGAGGAACACTTTCCGCTGCTTTATTGTTCCATGGGAAAACGTTCCGTTTCTAAAGATTCGTCGTTTCATGAAATGAACAGTAACAAATGAATGCCAATAAGAGGCAAGCTCGGGAGCTCCAAAGTTGTGGTAATTCATGTTTCTCAGGCAATTATCCCTAGAAGCAGAGAGAGCCCTTGTATGTTTTATCGATTTGTAAATTGGGGGAAGGGGGAAGAGGAATAAGACACAAATACATATCATCATCCAAATAAAAATCGAGTTCTGTGTTCAGATGGGTTGGCCGTGCGGGTCCAATCCAAACCAAAGCTAACATTCTTGTTTGTATGTTCCCTCTTCTAAGGCAGAAGGGAAGTTGTAATGCCCAGACTGATATGGAACTTTAGTTGCTGTAAATAAATAGGGCATGGTTTCCTGTCCTGAAAAACACAAAAGGCTCCACATCTGACAATAGCACTACAGATAAGATTAGAATTTCAACAGCCAATCCACATACAAAAGAACCTCCTCAGGAAACAGGAAACCTCCTCAGGAAACAATCCATATACAAAAGAACCTCCTCAGGAAAGCTCCTCCATTAGCATGTCCACAGCCTGGGGAACTCCTGCAGGACAATGACTCAACCCTACCCCACCTTCTGGATTAGATATAAATTACCTGCCTACCATTTTTCTTCTCACCTTGACACAGAGAGTACTCCATCTTTCTGTGTTATACCTCTGAGGATGCCAGTCACAGCTACTGGCGAAACGTCAGGTTCTACAATGCCAAGACCACGGCCACACAACCCGGAAAATCTACAGCAACTAATGAACTCTGGCCGTGAAAGCCTTTGACAACATATTGATATGGAACTAACAAGTCATGCAAAGGATGAGGTGTCCCTGCAAATTCTGTGAAAGGGAGGTCAATTCTGCCATAGCAGATGAAAGACACCCACATCTCTGGCATATCATGCACAGCTCTTTGGGCGCCGCAACAAGCACATCAACCGTTTTCAGTGCCACTGGCCTTCTTGCTTTATTTTGCGATGGCAAACTAACAGAGCTACCTCTTTGCGAACGATTTCCAGGATATTTTTTCTTAAATTTAAACACTGCAAGGGAAGTACGTTTTATGTTGTCCTTAATTTGTTATAAGCGTTATTCCAACAGAATAAATTCCCACACAATGCTCTGAATGTCTTTGATTACAACATGTGAGCAACACTGATTTTTTTTTTCCAATTCAGTTTTGAGTCTTTGTCCCTATTGGGATATTAACACAGGCTACACTGTTGCTTACTAAATAGTTGAAATAAACCTGCAAAATCAGATCACGTTCTGTTTTCCAGCTCAGCTCAGATTATTCCAGAAAAACCCCATCACTGGGTACAAGTAGGGATGCCAACCTCCAGGTGGGGTCTGGAGTTCTCCCAGAATTGCGACAGATCTCTAGACAACAGAGATCTGTTCCCTTGGAGGAAATGACGGCTTCGTAGCATGAACTTTATGGCACCACATGGCCACTGTGCTCCCTCCCCAGGCAGCCCCCCCCCAAGTCTTCAGGAATTCCCCAAGCTGGAGTTGGCAAGGGTTGTGGCTCAGTGGTAGAGCATCTGCTTGGCATGCAGAAGGTCCTGGGTTCAATCCCCAGCACCCCCAGTTTAAACAAATCTGGCAGTAGGTGACGTGAAAGACCTCCGCCTGAGACCCTGGAGAGCCGCTGCCAGTCTGAGTAGACAATACTGTCTCTGATGGCCTGATTCAGAATAAGGCAGCTTCATATGTGTGTGTGTGTAACCCTAGGCACAAGAAGAAGAGGAGAAGAGACTGGATTTATACCCTGCCCTTCACTACCCGGAGCCTCACAGCGGTTTACAATCTCCTTCCCCTTCCCCTCTCCACAACAGACACCCTGTGAAGTAGGCGGGGCTGAGAGAGCTCTGAGAGAACGGCCCCGTGATAGGACAGCTCTGAGAGAACTTGTGACCGACCCAAGGTCACTCCAGCAGGTGCAAGTGGAGGAGTGGGGAATCAAACCCGGTGCTCCCAGATTAGAGTCTGCACTCTTAACCACTACACCAAACAAGGGTCAAAGAGGAAGAGGAAGAAAGGTCCTTGCCTGAGCCGTCGAGGGCAAGCAGCCTGTGCCCCAAACCCTGGGAGCAGTTCTAGCCAATCTAGAGACTTCATCCAGGGACTGATGCTGCACCCTGCTCTGTTCTGTGCCCAAAGAGGGCTCTGACAGAGGTCACCCTCAGCAGCTCCTGGCAGGGTTGGTTCCAGATTTTGGAAAGCCCCGGGCAGAGAGTTCCCAGGTCTCCCCTTCTCAGCCTCTCACCCATGTGTCTTACTGACTACCTGGGTGTCCTTCCCTGCCCTGCTCACAAGCCCTCCGGCCCACGCTCACAGCCATCTGCATTGCCTGAAGCCCCTTCCCTGATGGCGCCAGGCAGAGCATGCAGCTGGAGGCATGGGTGGCGCAGCACTCACAAGCGAGCAGTCAGGGAAATGGCATGTTGGGGAGTTGGCAGCAGCGGGCCCTGGCAGACGCCCTGGCAGCTGCCCCACCGGAACGTATGCTGACGCTGGCCCCGGCTCCTAGCCACAAATGCCAAGTCCCTGGCGGAAGTTCCCCCGCGCCTGAGCATTGCAGTCCGGCCCTTCCAGTGTTGCGAGCTGCCCTTTTTAAACTTGCAAAGTGTTCTGTGACCTTTGCATTCTCCTGCACCGCAGCTATCCTCGTTTTCACAGGCAGGGGGAAGGAAGATCAAGCAAAAGAGGGTGCCCAAGGTCACAAGGAGACGCGATGGGTTCCTGAATGGACAGCTAGATTCAAGGCCAGCCGCACCTTAGAGAGCAAGAAGGTTTCAGCAGGTTATGAGCTTCGACTTTCGAAAGCTTATACCCCCCCCCCTCGAATCTTGTTGGTCTCTAAGATGTAACCAGACCCAAACCTAGCTGCAAACCAACACAGCTCTCCTCTGAAACGATCCCCAAAAGAAGAATTCAAGAAAATAAAACTACAAGCTTTACACGGAGGCAGGGCAATGATCTACAGCAAGGATGTCGAACTCATTTGTTATGAGGGCCGGATCTGACATAAATGAGACCTTGTTGGGCCGGGCCATGTGTGTCATAAAATGTAATGCCAGGTAGCAGAGACACTAGCACTCTTGCAATATGTTGACTATTTAACAGTTTCTGATAACTGACACTTCTTGCTCTGAGTTATTGCAGCGGCAGAACTGGAAAAGGAAGCAGGAAACAGCCAGGGCCTTGCGAGCCAGACTGCATCCCTCCGAGGGCCTGATCCAGCCCCCGGGCCACATGTTTGACACCCCTGATCTACACTGTCCATTGCTAGTG